ATAGATAGCCAGGTATTCCACAAGTCGGCGCCATAAGTGATAAAAGTTACCAAATGCTTAACGAGCCTTCTGTATCCGAGCTGAAATTTCCCCAGCCACCATCCCATTCAAATTGATGCAAATCCCCAACTAAGTGAAGTCCTCAACACATTTCATCACTTCACTCCCTATGATCATCAAACTGTGAGTACTGACAGCACACCAATCATGCCTGGGGCATCATCATACATTTGACAGGTGCCAGCCAAACATACTCAGATTTATGTCCAACTCGTCCAAAAGACTCTTTATTTTGTAAGGGTCTCTTCACCTCCTAGTACGACTATGTCGTCCGCTCACTATAAGTCAACCACATACCTACCCTCCAGCGAGTAGATCAATCTGTGTGAAGTCAGACGTACCTAGTAGTAGACGTACCATTAGTACGTCTATGACGAAGTTAAAAAGGGACGATGAAAGTGGACATCTCTGTCGGACGCTAATTGTTATCAACTCACTTGACAACTCTTCATAAGTCCTCACACGCCTGAGTGAGTTCGAGTAGAGAGCTTCGATGAAGACTGAATACTTGCTTTGTACTCCTTTCACAGTCAGACACGACCACAACTCCTCATGGTCGACAGAGTCAAATGTCGCCTTCTGGTCAACAAATATGGCGAGTGTCAGTCATTGGCCGGTAAGTATTTCTGTGTTCCAGAACCTGCAGTAGTAGGGTGAAAATCTGATCGATGAAGCCTCGTTCAGTTCTGTCTGAAATCTGCTTGGTTTCCTCGAGTTCGCTGTTCACGAGCTCCAGTTATGGGTTGGATAACTATGGACTTTAGGATCTTTTAGACAATATTAGTTCAAATAATTATTTTATAATTGTCACAAAAAGAGTTCTCTCCCTTCTTATAGACCAAGATGTTCAGTAAAATAGAACTGTCTGACAGCACTACTTTTGATTCATATGTACTACCTTGTACATCCGTCACAATACCATTAATTAGCTGACGTGGTATTTGTGATGCGTGTTGTTCCGGTCGTGAATGCAAAATTTTAACTCGGTCAACTGTTTATTCGGCAGTTTTGTGTAGTTAACCATATTAAGGCGATGAAAAATTCTACAGATAATCGTGATGATTTACCTTAAACTAGCACTGAGTTATAGCGTCATTGTTTTCAGTATAGATCTGGCTCCAAGCAGAATCGATGGGAGTTTGGCTGATCAGTTATTGTTTATCATAGGGCAGAAAGTGCTATCATCGGTTGCTTGTACAAGGGTTCCATCTCACCGTAAGAAATAGAAAAGTCACCTGTCGTGCGCAAGCATTTAGTATCAATTGCGTTAATGAGCCATTTGAACAAGGATTGTACTCCCATATCAAGGGTGATAACTGGTGCGACACTAGATTCGGATATACATTTAATCATTAGCGCCTTCGTTGCCGTCCCAACTAAAGTTTCTGATAACGTAAGAGCGACAGACCAGCAGGTAAATCTGTCTATGCATATGAGGAGATAATTGAAGTAGGCAGTGCTTTAGTTATATCTACTACATGTGTTCAAATTTGGTTATAGGAATAGTAAACTGACCAGGTAGAGTGTTGATTTGATGATATCTTTGTAACCAGCTTGATAGTACTGCTGATTCCTGCATGAGACTGCCCATCTCATATCTACTGGGATGAATCGAGGGTAACCATCAGTTAACGTGTCGTTTATTCCCCTTGCATGTGATACTAAGTGGAATTTTGTGAAGACTGACGACGTCATTTCGCAGACACATTAGGCCACTGCACACTGTTAATGTGCCCGCTTAACAGAGCATCGGTGATGTGGTTATTTTTACGTGTTCTATGTCAGAAGTAAATTGTGATGTAAACTCCAACTGTCGTATTTCACGAAGAAAGTAGTTATCTGATAGGGTTTTGGTCAATTGTTTGTGATCTTTGTACAACTTAGGAACATGACTTGTAACATGTATGAAATGACTACTAAAATTTCTATAGTGACACAGTCTTTTCGAAAAAAAGCCAGGTACCGTATTCTTGTTGCAATATAACTGTCCTAGTGGCAGCATTCGAGGCGTCCGTCATAAGTAATTGAGAGGCTGTGATATCTTATCTAACCAAAAGTATCTCTTCATTCAGCAGTCGCTTGACTTTTTCGGACGTTTGAACAGCTTCCGATAACAAGTGAATGAACGTATGTTTTCGCTTCAGCATACGGTAGTGAATCAAAGGACAATCAACTGTGGCTAACTTAAGAGAACGGTGTAAGCTCTTTAGTGAATCGAGCATTGCACCGTCTAGAACCGGGTTTGTACTTTGGTTGTCAATTAAGTCTCCAAGGAACTTCAATGAGCATTACCTAAATTCTGAGGTTACTCACTACTCGATGTTTTTCAAGTTATTTGAAAAATCAATCGTTAGTGTTTGGATACACAAAGGAATCTATGGAGGACGTAATCGGTAAATTCCTGAAGTCTGAGTGACGGTATTTTTCCAATCAGTCAGCACACGTCTATTGTCTGTATTCTCGCCTGCATTTAGTGCGGATGTATGGAGGAGGCAATGGTGTATGGTATGCATCTCTACTGCATATAATCAGCTATTACTAGAGGTTTGTGGATGTCAATATTATCATCAGCGAATACGGAAAGGGGTTGAATGTTCGCTGGCAGGTGTCGTAACTATAGCTGGTAAAATGGTACGATTATCGAAAACTATCTTTTTTGATATGCCAAATTCGCTAAATAATTCATGTAGCTCACATATCATCATTCTTTGAGTTCTTCTCATGATGATTATATCAGGCCATTTAGAAGAGGGATCTCCGAATATTAGGAATTTATGATCCTTATATGGTCTTGCAAAGCCATTATGAATTCTTGATCTTGCGTTGTTTGGGCCTGGTAATCAAAATAACTCCAATTTAATCGAAATTTCTGCGGATATACTCGATTCTCTCAGTCTTTCACTTGATTTTCAATATCTTTATCGATGAATGGTCGAAAAAACATAGCTCTGTGCTAACAACTTCATGCCTATTGTGCCTGAACGATGCACACACATTTGACGTAATGGAACTGTGTAAATTATGAGGCAACATTGTTCTAAGTGAAAGTAATATGTACCCGTCTACAATAACTAGTGAGTTGCAATAATGATTGAACTGATGCAACTGAAGATGTTTGTTTCGTCCATATGTCCTGGATACACAAGCAATTTGTAGATTCCTCAATCATTTTTAGTTTGACAGGAGCCGAGGCAACAGATTCTCACAAAATGTCACAAACGTCATCATCAATTGCTATTTCTGCATTGACAGTATCGATGTTTAGGAAATCAGTCGTGATTAGGTGCAGTGTAACCTAATTTATTTTTAAAAGTATCCTGGATGGTGAAGTTATATCTTAACAGAAAAAGTAACATCGCTGTCATTCACCAAGTGTGACAACAGTGATACCAGGTTTTCAGCCAAAAAAAACAGCAAATCATTGTTTATGATCGGTCTGGAGTGTAAACGGATGCGCATACCACCATTCGATAAAACTTCATGATTGCATTTATATTTTCATTAGATCATGTGTGCTGGTTTCTGATATGTATTTGAATATGAAATAGGGTTTTATATGGCGCTGAAATAAATGACTTCATGGTTATGAGGTACGAATCGTTAGATGTAGTACTGATCTTTCCAAGTGCTAATGTGTGGTCGTAAAATGTAGGTAATGTGAAGAGTTGGTTACAGGCATGTGATTAATTGCTACCTTCCGAGCATCTCTGCCAAATAAAGGTGAAAGGTAAATTGGAATGCTTAGAAAAACCTGGGCACCGATTTCTATTTCATTACGTTGATATTACAGGTTATACAACGAAAGATGTTATTAGGTTTGACTGTGTCTACCTTCACTCACTTTCTAGTACAATGACGTTTCGTATTACTGTTATTGGAGTTGTGGTTCATTGGTTTAGACAGTTGACTTTCAACCAGTGGGTCACTAGTTCGAACACCGTCCCACTTACTGACGTATGGACAGTCAGGTAGTATCCTCAGCCTTCACAACAGGTGTGACTCATTGCCTACTGCATGAATGTGTACAAGATTGCTTGATGGATTTATATTTAGATGTTGCTGTTAACTGGCTGGTATCAAGTCACGGATGACGAATGTTAGTTTCAACAATCTAGAGAGATTTCAAGTTGATTAGAATATGACTTAGTGAAAACCACAAAGTGTCTATCAATAGGTTCCATTCGGAAGTGTATGTCTTTAGTCCTTAACTTGATTGAAATTGACATCAGCCGCACATGTGCAATCAAACCTCGATTTAAACGTTAAGCACGTTATTATCTCCAGGGTGTTAACACTATTTTTCAGTAATACATATTTTTATTCTATATTTTCCATCGTAGTATGAATAAATCATCTTGATTTTACTAAGAAGTTTATCGACTCTGTTGATTATTTTATTAGTCTATTCACCTTGCAGCTATAAGTAATCTTTTATTTTAATAAGAGTATACAACGGTTACAGATTCTCTTGCTTCATGCGGTAGCTAGAATCAGATTTGCTGAGTAGTTGAAGTTTATACTTCTTTCACAGTTCACACATACTATTCATTTCTTGATTCGCCTATATATCATGGAGATATGATTGCAATTATTAATTTTCATTTCCTATCCACATTGTTTAGTGTATAAGGATATGACAACAGAATTCACTTAGTTTATACACTATTTTGATGATTACATTAATAATGGATAGTAGCTAGCAGTGAAATCCAGGACTCGCGTTTCATCCTGTTTGGGATTCGTCAGTTGTATGTACCTGGTTTCTAGTGAGCGATATTGTTCTTTTTAGGACCGACCCACTAGGCCACTGAGTCACGATATCCACTTCTTGTGTGACTCGTATAGTTTTCATGTTGTTACTATTCTTAGTTATTTTTTACTGTTGTTTTGGTTACCATACTGTAATGCATCCTACCATTGATCTGTACTTGAATTCACAGTGATTTTATGGATTGTTTGGCTATGGAACAAGAGATTCTAGCTGAGTCATACATGCAAAACGTCAGTGATGTCAATATGTTGGCTACAACACCAGTGGTGGCATCGTCTTCAACAACGTCAGGTATCGATGGAACTTCTTTACCGCACAAATGTGAAAACAACTCAGCTCATAAGTCTTATTCCTTCCAACCTGTTACATCAGATGATGATGCACCAGAAAGAAATTCTGACTACCGGTTAGACTCATCGGTTAGATGTCAGGTGACAACTGGACAAAAAGCTAAAGGAGCCTTATTAAATTGTGATGAAGGCAAGACTACAGAATCTCCTGTTGTTCGTCTCAAAGAATCATCAGATGGTGATGGTTAGTTATGTTAATCATTTTACCTTGTAATAATGTTGCATGTCTCACTCACTCTCGTTATCCTTTCTTTTTTTCAAAATGCATTTTATCCAATCATTTGATTTTTGATAGAATACGCATAGAAGTGAACGCAAACGTATGCCATATGATCTCAAAAAAGCACCATTTATAGAATTACGGATGCAGAAATTCGAATTATTGTTTAGCATTGAACTTTTTTTGGTAATGACTATGTTTGCTACTTTGTACTTCTTACCTCATTTTCACACTTTTACTATTAAATTTATCTGTTACTCAATTATACAATTCCCAAGAAGTATTCATTTTTACACGAATTGGTTACTACAGGGTACTGATTGATATCTAATGGTATAACTGCCAATCTTGTTGATGCATCATACTTCAGTCTTAATGAAACCTTTAATTTTGTACAGGCAATGCGCCACATCTATTATATGTGAGGACTAATGATAATACCTGGCTGTCCACACCTTAGTAGGTGGTGTGGGGTTCGAACCCATACCCCACTACTTCAAAGCTAACTGCCTAAACTAAAGAACCACAGCTCAACGAGGTAAGAATAGTACTGATATCTTCCCAGACTCAAACTTTGAGGTTATAGTTCATCGCTATGTGACCTGGAAATCATTTTTGGGATTACCATTCTCCATTATGGTATTTCGCAATTATTCTCGTTGAGCACAACCCCTCCTACATCTGATGGATGGTGATTTTATAAAGATTAATGGACGAAACTCCTTATTTCCTTCTAATGAATATTTCTTCCGGTAAAATGTGTCATCGCTTTCCTGTTTTATCGTAAACTTCTTATTCAGATGTTATATATGCATAGATTATTTTCAACTGAGTAAATACTTTACATAAACTGACTCATGATAAGGATAAAAATAAAAAGTGATATATCTCACCGATATACGTTAAAATCAGGCGAACTGACAAGATCAACATAGGACAAGGGATTACTGCGTAACGGTTCAAGTTGCCACACCTCATATCAGCACATCAAGCGAGAAAGCATTACGATGAGAGATGAAGACGGTAAAATCAATATTGGTAACATTCAAAACCTTACTACTTTCCACTACTTAGAGGGGAAATTATTACAGTCATGGTTGTGTTTTATTCTGTGAGTTGGATGGGTCACTCGTGAAACCTTCATACCCTTCCTAGACATCATCAGCGCTATTTTCGGTGGGAAGGTAGGTACCAATATTTCTTCATGGGTTACTCAGTAGCCTGTGCTGACGAAGCTGTGTATGACTGCTATTTTTGTTTGTTTGTTGTATCATTGACTGCACACATTTTGCGGTCGCCCTTTTCTCTGCCTAACCTTATAGTTCATGATTTTTGCATTTGTTTAGTGAGAAACACATCCCGAAAATTCTTATATACCCATTCGGGAGGTTCAAACAGCTGCATCTTTTCAGCATCTTCATCTAGCAGGACTTTCTTTTTTGTTCTCCATGTCTGCTAAGGAGTGTTTTGTGACAAGAATAATCCATATAATGCCGAACGACTTGATGGAAACCTCTATGAGTACTTTTATGATAAAACTAAATAAGAAGGGTTGGAGTAGATATCCTCAACGGACACTACTCGACACATTCATCTTACCTGCTATCTCATATCATAGGCTCTAATACGAATACAGTGTTCAACTTCTTTCAGTCAAAAAGATGAAGTTGGGCATCGCTTTCAAGTCAAATAATACAATTAGTCTCAAGCGCCCCAGTTCCATAGCCCTGCATAGGGTGAATATGTATGATCGATATCCTCATACCAAGGTTTGAAACTTGGCTACTTTTCTCAAGTTCGCTGTTATGGTTCTGTACTCAGATGTCCAATAATTATATAACCTAGAATATTAGACATAATGCTAGACTGATTATCACAAGTGGATACTTCACCTTTATGAAAGACTAGGACAGTCAGTTATTGAGACCAGTTAAAGGGAATCATATCTGATCTTACGTTATCTAAAACTTCAGTAATTGTATGCAATAATCACTAACCACCTTGCATAAATACCTCCAGTAAAAGCCTATCCGGTCTTACCATCCTTTTTTGTTTCATATTACTTGTAGCCTTCTCAACCCTTGCAAAAGTTTGGGGCCGTGTTCTGGTGTTCTCTTCTGGATCTGGTCGGATTACTGGAGGCCAGTCGCACAGTTATTCTAATCGGCACTAAATACATGCAATAGGAATGATTCTGCATCTGTCTTAGATATATGGGAAATTCTACTACTCTTATTAAAAAGAGGGGGATTTGATTAGAAGTTACCTGATATGAACATGCAAAATAAATTATGTCCGAAAAGTAATGTAGTAAATAATAGTGTTTCCCTGTGCGACAATTCTAATCAACAGACTAAAATGTTTCTTGAAGTATTCTTTCCAGTCTTCCTCCTGCTAGCAAATCTCAGACCCATTTCCCCCCACTATTTTCTCACTAATTATTGACTCTGCTGCAGTGTCCTCGGTTGATTCAAATAACTGTCGGCCTCATCCTTCTCCATGTCTTTAGTCATTACTACCCACGGCCACTATTCACCTGGAATGAGTTTACGTGCATCAATTAATTCAAAAGTGACTGAGATCCACTGGCTCCTTCTAACCTTTATCTAAGAGTCAGTTACTGTATTCAGTTTTACAGAAGACCAGAGGTGGCATCATGCTCCTTCAGAATGAGTGACACTGTCCCGTTGTCATTAATATCTAGCTGGTTGCTTACTGAAAGCAACCTCAGTATTCTAATCGTTGTAGTGCGCTCGAAATGGTCTTGTTGCTGTAGTTTTACTATATCCATTTAAATGCAGACACACATGGTCAAATCAAAGCCTGCTCTTTGTTTAAACGCTTGCTGCAGAAGGAGTGGCATTCTTTCACCGACCCTCTTCAGTGATAACCGACGGCAGTATAGCTGAGCTGTTAAGCTGAGGTCGGTGGATACGATACCATTCACAGTCTCTTTTTATGTCTCATGTACGCACTTCCCAGAAATAAGTGGTTGTCTGAGTGCATTTGTAGTAGACAATCACTGTTATCCCTTCGTCCCGTTGGATTCTGAAAGTATCACCTAAGTGCATTTCTGACTGACTTAGCTCACTCAGTTGTGCGTTGAAATCACCAGCTACGATAATCATATCTTAGCATTTGGCGTTCAGTAGGATGCTAGGCAGTTTTCGGTAGAACTCTTCCTTCATTTCATCCAACCAGCGGTTGCATACGGAGAGACTGCAGCGAGTTTCGTTGTTTGTTTTAGTCCTCACTACACCATTCACTCTCATTCTGCGCAGGTGATTCAAATGGTATTCAGTCGAGGGGTACAGTTAATGCTATACCCACACCTGCAGAACCGCAATAACTGTCTATTGACTGCAAAAACTCGAAGGGTGAATTTTGCAGATTCACCATCGGATGAGGTTAAATGGATAACTACGCTTGGTTGCTGTATGCGTGCCCCACCAACACTGCAAACCACCATAATGCGAGATTCCAGACTTTTAGTTGGTGGGGCTTGTTCCAACCTAAAATCAGTTAATATAAACCTCCGGATAGAATTAATCTAGCGCTTATTGCGGTGACTAGCTTCGAGAGGTGATTCCCTAAGTTCCCTATGAGAAGTCGTGACCGATGAGGTCAACCAAGTTGAACATGAGGACAATTACTCAACGACGACATTGAATGTAGGTCGCACTATATCGTGAATTGATAAGTAGGAAATGCGGATCATTGGATCCTGCCGACTCAGTGGTTCAATGGTAACGTGCTGGCCACGGAATCTGAACGTCTTGGGTTCGATCCCTGGCGGGGTGGAGTTATGGGTGTGCATTGCTGAGGAGTCCCATACTAAAACGAAATGGACGTTCACTGCTCTTATGTTTCCAATGTCCCTCCAACTGATGTCAGTCCATGATGAATTCTAACCTAAAATCTAATACAGAACTAAATAAACTGTAAATTATTCGGGTGTAACTTCAAGTGAAAAATTTTCTATTTAACGAGTTAAATGGAATATAATTTCTCTAGTCATTCACGTTTATGCATAACAAATAAACTGAAGGCGAAATTGAATCTGAAATTTTCCATTCACACCCATTTCATAAGTCAATGAATATTTCAATATACTTTTGTCAAGAAAAACTTTATCATACCATATTTTATTTCGGATAAATTTAGTTCACATTATACTTTTTTATTTATTTTAAAAACCTAGCCAATTTATTGAATAAACTTCCATCTTCCTTGGGTGAATTTGAGTTGATGAATTGTTCTATTACCTTGGATACTTCTGTTAACCGATCAAAGTCAAAATTGGGTGTCAGTTCAACTTGTCCACCTGCTACTAATGAAGCTTGTAGTTATATGAATAATTGTCTGAAACAAGCAGACCAAACATCTAGCTTCACTACTCGATCCACGCGTACATCATCCTCTTCATCGTCAACACCAATCATTTAATAATGGTGAAGGTTAATCACAACGGATAATCAACTAGGAGATTGTTTAATATTCTCCTTCACTTTTTTATTTGCTTTTTTGTTCACTAATAATCCAAAATCTAATTTTTATTATTATTTATTGACAAGCATATAGAAGTATATACATTTTCTTACAGAACTACTTGAACCTGCGTGGTTTTTGGTTTCCATCAATCATTCTCTTACCGAAAGTGTTTGTAACTTATCGTTTGTATGGTTGCTGATCACTTTTTCTTTGTGACTAACTTGTGTACTTATTTTATATGTAAGTTATTATAAGCCTTTGGACTGTGTGATATTTGTGTATGCTCGAAATACTAGTATGGTTACCAGTAGTAGCAAATGTTAAACGTCAGTAATAACTTTTTTATATGTATAATTTCTTTTCAATGCTTATGACCAATAGTAGATGTGTAAAGTATTTTCGTCCTTTCGTTATTGTTTTATTACCATTTTTGTTATGAAATACATTTTTTATCTATTCCCTGATGGTTTGTCTATCCAGTTTCAAATATTCTCTCATCTTGTATTACTGATATGCTTCTTCTGTGTGTTTGTGCATTTCCAATTATCCAATGTATAATTCTTTTCATTTTTGTTTGGTTTATTTACTATAGAGTACTACCTATGATAATGATGTTAATATTTATGGATAGAGAGACGCTATGTCGTCACTTCTATTCTTCACTACATTTCCTTCTAAAACCTAAACTTATAGCTGCATATTTAAAGTCAATCTCATATATATATATATATATATATATATATATATATATATATATATATATATATATATATATATATACTGTATTGTATTCTGTTTAATTGTGTCTTTTTCGGTAGCCTTGAAATACACTTCAAGTTTTTTTATTTATATCAACAGCATAGCTCATTTGCAAGGCCATTATTATCATTATGGGCGGTAGTAATATTGTTGGCACAAAACTTAAGCTTCGATAAATGTCGTTGTTGTTTATTTTCATAATCTTCGATGTCATTGTTTCTTTTGTGTGTAGTTAGTTGTGCTGTCAGTGCATTCTTACGTTTTTCAATCGATTGCCTTAACCAGCTATATCACCCATCTGTGGCTAGAAATGTTTCTACATTAATATTTTCAATTTTTAATTTATGGTCCAAGTTAACTGAGTAATCAGAAAGGCTTATATGAAAATCACTTTACTATGTCAAAACCGAGTACATTAATGGACTTTACACATCACTGTCTGATGATGAAAAAAGTTCTGCAATCCACCTAGTCATCATGATAGCATTGAATAAGCAGGAACGCTTATTTAAAACAAGCAATGAAAGAAAAACAAGATTCAATCGGATTCATTGACAAAATTCTCTACATACTAAGACTTTTTATGCCAAGATGCACCACACGAAATCGAATACACATTATGCCAATTGAAAGATTAATTAAAGTGGGGATATATAGGAACAAATAAACTTAACAGGTCAAGTGGAAATGTGAAACGGTTAGAGTTCACTGTTCAAATTGATGATGGAAACTAAGTATATTAACGATAAACTACGTCATTGCTAATAGAGTAGATGTGCTATGACCGGTAGTACGACCTAACAGTCTACGAGCCTAGCAAGCTACGAACCTAACGCACAAATGAATCGACTCTAATGCAAATCACACCACAGTACCACCGAGTCACGAAGACAGACAATTGACAGAGGGCTTTTTACTGTCTCAATAACAACCAATACAATTGGCAGCGTTGCTGCATATATACATATCTTAATGACCTTGACAACGCTAAATCCACATATAGGTAAAAATGTTTAACAACCAGTAAGAGTTCAGCCGTGAGAGCAGAGGGAAGAAAAAGTAGTAACGGTGTGAACATTGCTATTTCGGTTATTTTAGAGTCATGGGCAAAAAAACAGGTAAAGCTATGCAAAATTAGGGGTATATAGCAAAATATTAAACTGGAAAACAGTACTAGCAATATTGGCAGATATTGGAAATGGATCGGAAGTTGAATACGTCTTATTTGAATTATATCATTCCGAACATAAACATGTAATAGTTATTTAAGAAGCTTAGTAATAGTGTAGAGCTCAGAAATACAAAAAGGTGTATAAATGAATGATAATATATGAAAAGAAACTTCTTTTTTTCGAGAGTAGTTTTTGCTCAGACGTTTTCAGTTTTCGACTTATTGTTTTAACCCTGCCTGATTACAACAAAGTGACTGGTAGTTACCATGATAAAAGGTTTTGTCAGTTTCACAAATCCCTTTGTTTATACATTTACTAGATCAAAGAAATTATTTTACGATCAAGATTTTGTTGTGATTAAATCTATACGCATAGTATCTGCGTACTGATTGCCTAATATTTATTACGTGTATAAACAATCTTGAACATATATCCGCTGAAAGAGATTTTCATCCTAGAAACCATTTTTACCATGAATGGTACTTTTATCTATTACTGTTTTAGTGAAAAGGATAAACAGATTTACGGAATATTGTAAGACAAACAAAAGCTAGACATAAATTAATCCCATTGACTATAAAAGTAACCAATTTAACATTATCACTGTGCATTATATATGCTGTTAAACTGTTGTATGTAGAGTTGACAAGACGCTTTACATATTGGAACATAAACCTCTCTACCTGAAACTTTGGGAAATCGGATGCTTTGTCAGAAAAGGGAGGGAATTGAGACTGTCTCACTGAAAATTGTATTTTGAAATTAATTAGTATTCATTGATGACAACTTTCACCATAGTTTTGAGTGATACAAATTCAATCCTTTCATCCTCATCGATAGATTTCAGTGATGTGTTATATAGTGATTGTCTGTTATGCAAGAAACAAAACAGTGAGGAAAAAACGGAAAATTGTATTGTATTATTATTGCAGAATAGTAATAATTATTGTACATATGATCAAGACACTTACTGAAACAAATTTTGCTAAAATATCTATCACCAAAGATATTGGCAGTTTAATGAAATGATTGTGTTACATTTTTTTTCAAAACGAAAGGATATAATATACAATTAAGCATGGCAGTAAATGTATACAAGTTCTTGTCATAGGCTACAATACTTACTACTTGGCTAGGATAGATCTTGGTAAGAGCAGTAAACTTTAGGACGGTTTTTCACTGAACTTCATTTAACTCCATACGACACATTTGTTTATCGGCTAAACTATAAGGAAAATTTATTGTATGATGACTGATACTAAATAGTTGCCGAAGCTAAAAGGGGTTGAACAGGATTTGAATTTAAGACCCGCTGCTTGAAAGTCGAACGTTTAAGTCACAAGAAGTAATATAACTGCATACATAATTTTCAGTTAGAGAAGAAACACAATTATACAGTACCAATATAACTCAGCTGATCTTTGTTAAGTATTCACTTACAGATACGTCTACTACTCAACGTGAAGAGGAAATAGCATATTATTTTACATACAATATAGGATAACTGTTTATAGCCATGAGCAGATTACTGTACATACTCATTCAAACAAGAATAAAAGTCAACAGCACAAAGGATTTAAAGTATTCTCTAAGTCGTGACAGTGCTTAATAATGGAGAGAAAACTACATTCTGAATGGGTGAAACGCAGGTTGTGGTTAGATTCCACAACACGGTGTTTATCACGGATTGATATCAGAGTTGCAGAATCATTGATGACCGAGAAGGATTCTTTTGGTATAGCCTGAAATTAAACTGTAGTGTGCACCTGTAAGGACCAGCTGCTGATAGGTATTCGTCTAGCCTGTAGGTGGCTACGCTGTTGCAGAGCAGTGTGATTCTAGTAGTGACCACTTGAGTGGAAGAGAGAATCGTGAAATGATGGCTCAGCGGGGAAATACTTATAATGAAAGACGGAATCGATCACGTGATTATGAAACCAGTTAGTTGGCACCTAACATTTTGCGTTTTTCAACTTTCTGTTCACAATAGAATGAGATTTTCATTCATTGTCGTCTTTTAACATATTCTTATCCTATATTTGATTGACCCCATTCGGACTTCAGAAAGCCTATCTCTAATGGTTTATTCTTGAATTATTTAGTTTCACAGATGCCCATCAATGACGATGAGTAGTAATCACACTCGATCACCAATTGACAGAAGTCTGGAAATATAAACCACTGAACTGTAACCAAGTAGCTGGTTGGTAAGGTGTTCACTTTAAGATATGACGAACAACAGTTTGACCCCGTATATAAAGTTGTGTAGGACAATCCTGGCAAGTGATCACTAGTGATAAAAATCTCCTCGGAACAAATCAGTCGTAGAAAAACTCTCCAATTCAGTGTTTGGTTTTATCTGAATATCATTTATGAGTGGCTTACTCCCCTAGAATAACCTTTCGTTCTGATCCGTATCAGATATTTTCATACGTTCATTTACTTCAACTATCTTTTTCCTTTACGCAACCTATTCCAGCTCGATGAAGAGTAGTCTGTTTTACGAAACTACTATAATAAACAGAGATCGAAAGCGGATATGAGAAAGTGAGGCTGTGAATCTTCACAAAATGAAGCGGCTTGAACATTTGTTGCACGCACCAAGCCATCACCTGCCTCCATATACAATGTCAACAGAAGTAGGATAGAATGAAATAAAGTTTAAGGAGGTCGGATAACGATGTGGTATCACTCCATGAAGATTTTAACTGTTGGTGTAGACTCTCTGGTTCGAGTCCGTTAGGTAAAAGGAACCGGTGGTTTCAGACCCTTCTTCATATAGCTGAGAATTAGTTACGATGGTGAAGTTGTATACCTTATTTTTCATCTTCAAAATCCTGAGTATTTTCATCAATCTTCACCTATCTATTCACTCCAATCCCATACACTTTTTCAACCTTACAGTTACCCTTTTCCTATGCACTTTTTGCGTACTGCCATGAAGTTTAGAAACTTGAAATGGAACACTCCCGTGCGTCATTCTACATTGATTTGTTTCTCTACTATCTAAGACTGATCATCAAG